ATAATGTACTGGACACTGGACAGACAGTCCTGATTCTCTGTTGTAACCTTAAATTTCGTTAAGCCTCAGATTTCTCAGGTGTAAACTGAGCGGCTTGGATGGTATGCCCAGGATCTGCCTTCCAGCTCTAAAAGTCTGTGGTTAATTGATATTCAACAACCTTTCCATTTCAGAGTACTGAATCCCCTCCTACATTATTAAATAAATGACTGTTACAGTGGATGGTATGACTGTACTTAATGAATCAATCGATGTGTTTTATCAAATATCTATTATAAGCAAAGCACCTTGTCCTCTTTTGGCAATACATTTGAGTTAAGTAACCCATTAGTGGCTTCAGATGACAATCTTGAAGCATCTATGGTCAGAAATAAGTGAGTAGATTTCTAACCCCTCGATGGACCAGGGAGGGGCTGGACAGTGGTAAAAAATCGTGCAGTGTGGGTGAGTTTCTGTGTTGTGGGTGCGTGGTTATGAATATTGCAACATGATAACTCTCACCCAGAAAACCTACCACGTAATCCAGAGCTAAGTTTCCACTCTGTCCTAGGGTTCTAACTCAAGTTGACTCTACTTCAAACGAAGGAAAGCTTGTTTGGCCAAATACCCATGGAGCGTCGGTTTCAGGAATGTGACATGCTGTTAAACCACAGCCGTGTAAGCTTGCGGCCACTGAGATTTTCCAAGGATGAAAGTTTCACTTTTCAAAGAAAAACATGGCACCATGAAGCAGGAGACACATAAGGTGAATGGTGTGGCTTGGTCCCAGGAAGCTTTCTCTCTCAAAGAACACCTACTACGTGTGAGACTGTTCTGGGAGAGGGCAGGGAGGAGCGTGAGAATAGGCTAAGTTTGCAAGATCCCAAAGATGAGACAGAGTTCCTGCCTTGCAGGAGGCAGAGAGAAAGGACAGTGGGGATAAATCCAATGTCAATGCATGGCATCTTGGAGGCTGGGGAGAGCTGGGGAAAGCTGCAGGCTATTAACCTAAGCCTAGAGGAGTGCTGGAGCAGATGCAGGAACTGCAGCCAGAAGCACCAGGTCATGGGGCAGGAGAGGTCCCCTGGCAGTCAACAAAGGGAACTCAATGTCTCTCTGAGGTCACTTGTCAGACCCCCTGGGCTCTCACCTCCACATCTGGCTAGGAGATTTGACAAAATGACCACCAAGGACTGCTGAACACTCGTGGAGAGGCTAGGTATCTGAGGAGCTGAATTCATACAGAACCAAACCTCAGAGAATCACTCTAACGTTGGAAGGGAACATAAGAGACCTTTAACCCAA